GTAACGCGAAGCTACATCCGCATCGGAAGCGGCGGGCGGGACACCACAGGCAGGCGGTGTAACGTGTCCGATCCTACCTCACTGCCCCGCTTTGACTTTCCCCGCATTTGCTTCCTTCCACTGCCTGCTGTCGTCCTTGGCTGTCACATAATAGAACATGGACAATCCTAGACCTTCTCTTCGGCCTTGACTCAGGTGTAGCAGGTCGGTAGCCTTTGGGCTGGTGTCATGCCGTTATTTCCAGTGGGGGAATTAAGTGCCGCAGATACGTAGCCTTTGAACTACTCATCGAGCTATAGCTACTGTATAGTAGCTACTGGATATCCGGCTCGATCCGATACAGCTGCTTGTAGTACCTGTTACATAGTGAGGTGCAACCAGCCTCTCGAGGAGAGGCCTTTTCAGCGGCCAGGTACTGCATAGCTGCTGCTTGCGTGCTCTCTGCTCTGCTGCAGTGTGCGCACAATGCAGTGTGTGTACAGCATAATCTACAACCGCATTGTTAAAAAAAAAACAAAGTTAATGTGCCGTCATGCATTACACATGGCTGGAATCACTCCTTGGCGTGCGTTACTGTGCTCTATGTTAACATAGAGCCGGGCCCCGCATGAGTTCTATCTGGTCGGTGCTACTGCTACACACTGCTCTGCTTGCACGTGATCATTGCTGGTAGGGAAGTACATATAAGTAGGGAAGTACATATAAAGCGGGTAACAGTACCGTACAGCAATAACATTAATACAGAACCACAAAAATCACGATGATGATTAATGGTCCACACGCACACACACACACACTGGGCTCTCCATAAATTGTTTCCAAAGCTTAACTTGAAGCCAAACGCGAAATGAACGCAGCCATTCACAGTATCCCACCCTTTCACCCCTACCTGACTTGTGGGGCCCCTAGTCCCATTTCGTTCCCACACCTTCAAAAGGCAGGGCCCCTGCCGCAGGCGTGAGTGAGGCTTAGGGCCCAACCACCATGCGCGTGCGTGCATTGCGTGGTGTTTTCCTGTAGGCGCCGAGTTGCTAAAGAAAGGCTGGCCTGCTGCCGACAGCACAGGGTGCGTGCGGGCCTCCAAGAAACGAAACCAAGCCTGAATCCCCCTAATACCCTATCTCCCTAAATCATGCGGACATAACAATCAAGAACAGGCAACGGCCAGCCAGTGCGGTTGGCAAAATTCGCTTTTTTGGCGGGGCTACAACCTATATACCTGCGATGCCTACAGAAAAAGACCCGACCACACAACAAAACGAGGCACAGCACGTTCATTTCATGCAACGCAAAAGGAAATCTCCAGAGCCTGCGACTATGAAAGAGAGTAAAGATGTAGACATGTGTCCATGCTGCACACCTGCCTCGTGCGCTTGATACAACACACATTACTTGAAAGGAAGTATGGGGAGGTCGCTTCGTTGACCAGATAACAGAAAGGTATTTGTCGCGCCAGCTAGCACTTTCTCCGTTAGGAACCCACTGGCCGCATCGCATGATCGCACGACAACACAGCATCATTGGACGACCAAGCTCGTCCAGGCCGTACGACCCAATAGGTCGGTTGAGAAATCGGGCTTGGTCGTTAGCGCTTCTCTCCCTGGTGCCGAACCTAGAAATGTACGAACGCGGAGAAACAGAACAAAGCTCCCTCTAACCCCCGGCGCCTGCTCTCATGCATACAACCCGTCCCACAATGAATGTCATCGTCTGCTGCACTACTGGAACTCAAGGCACTGGGTTTTTACCTACTGCACAGCAATGTTATCACCTGAGCATGGTCATCATCTCTGCAGATGCTGGTGCTAAAAAGCACAGCATGTTCTTTTCCACGTCCCACAGCCTTCAAGTGCTGCCACAATACTAGGCACGCGCGCATCCATGCATACACAGCCGGGGGGCACGCCCTCGTGCTGATGGAAGCCCGATGATAGCAACGCAACAGCCACAATGCAAAATCATAAAGGCATTGTAATACTCCGATGCACCCGATAAGGCAATGAAGAGTATAGAAGAACCTTGCCTTGTTGTGATCTTCAAGTCCTCGAACTTGCGCAAGGTGGTGAACGAAGCAGCAGGTGAACGGAAGCTGAAACACCTTCCCGAACTCATACGTAGGCTTTCTTCACACACACACACAAACACACACATACATACATACTCTCTCCTTCCGCTAGGGGGAGAATGCTTCGGCGGTCGTTGCCGTCGGGGGAGAATTACGTGCCCCTGGCCAGCGTCCGCCCCAGATTGATGTGTAACAGAACACACACGCACACACACTCATACCTTTCGCATTACACCTTATAGTAGCGCGCATACTTGGACCAACAACAACAAACGCAACGCATGAAAAAAACGAAGCTGTAACCGAGAAGCAACCAAGCGAGGCATTAGTGCATTAGGGTTAACGATGGACACATGGCCCTCCGCCGGAACAATGCGCCTGTTGTCTGCTGCAGACGTCGTACATGCGAGGTAGCACACTTATAGCCCTCTGCCTTCAACATCCATTCGTACACAGTCTCATCCGAGCTACTGATCTTTAGCCATAAGTTAAAAGGTAATAAGGTAATAAGGTGCCTGATAAGGACCAGGATGCATGGTCATCATCGACAGGCACCACACGAGCAAGCATTGATGCAGCAAAAAAATTCCAGGCAAGCTCGCCAATCAGGTAATTAAGCCCAAACCACGTCATCAGGCGGCTTTTTCATAGCTATCTCCAAGGTTCTTATCCGGGTCAGGTTCGCGCGCACACACACGCACATGTGCACCTATCCAAAATGCGCATAAAAAGCGCAGAGACACAAACCCACTTGAGCGCCTATCTACGCATTCAGGTCCATTCATTCATTATTGACGAAGCAGCACATTATAAATACTCGCAGGTGCACATACGCGCACGCGCGCGCGCACACCTCTGATCCAAAAGGGAGACCATCCGAAAAGATTTCTTAACACACACCCCCCTTCAAACACCGGCCCGGTACCTGCCTATACCCTGCACCAGCAAACCTCTCCTGAGGCTTGCCATGCATGTCCTGAACTTTAAAACCGCGGACGGCATTCGTGTGGGCGTTACAAAAGAGATATCACGATGGAAGGCCGAGGGAAGGCACATGCGTGCCGTCCCTGCCACCGCAGCTGGCCTCCCAAATGGCGTCCCGTTGTCTTTTGCGAAGGCAACGGCACGCAAGATGCCAATCTACCGCACCTGCGAGCGCCGGGCGTTTTAAAGCAGCGGAAGGGGATTATGATGAAAGGAATGGTAGGCTACACAGCATAGAATAGTAAGCTGCAAGAAGGATGCATGGGCTGCTAGTTAGCCATGCTCAGGGTCTATACAGTGCGCACGGGTTTGGCTTAGCGGTATGCACCAGCTGTCCTTCCTTCCCGGTTTATTGTTCCAAAACCTACACAGTTCGATAATAGAAGATGCTCCATCACGCTGCCGAGCTATGCTTTCGCTGCCCTCTGGGGGGCCATCGCTTAAGCGTCAACGGATCCGTCCGGACTTAGCAGCCACGTCGCACTTCTGTTGCAGCTTGCATGCCCAAAACTATGGTGCTTTTTATGCTTGCCGGTGTAAGTTTACATTCGCTTTGGAATACGAGTGTAGTTGAAGAAGGCACTTGAAGGCGGGATCTGGGCGGAAGCAAGCTGCTGTGGCGGCTCCTACGTCTATCTGCGACTTCATTCACTCCCCTAAGCCCCAGCAACGACGGCGTTCTCCCAGCAAATTGCGTACCTTAGAGCCGTTAGCAATGCCCTGATCTCCTCAACCGCGGCCCTTACATGACGATGGCTGTAATGTTAGGCAGGACTGCATGCAGGTTGAATTGGCAGAGCGGGAAAAGGTAAGGTAGGGCGAAAGAAAACCGACCGTGGCGAACAGCAAAAAAGGTGTCACCAAAAAGCGCAGCTTTTTCATAGAGGTTTTGTGAAGGGATTCAGCCTGCTGGCAGTCAAGCCCGATGACGTCGGATTATTAGCTGAGGGTCCGCCAGTCCTGAGGCAGAAGTGGTTGTTGTAATATCATACGCACCATTTATACTGCATGTCGCTACCCCAAAAGGGGCTTAACGGCCATGTTTCACAGCACCCATTGATGACCTATCTCATCACAACACACCCCAGACGAAGCTACTAACTCGCCTCTAATGTACCCTCACGTGTACACAATACCCGCATCGCGAACACCGCCGGTGGGCCCACAGGTGCCACAGGGTGGAAGCTACTCACCGCTTTACTACTACTGCTACTGCTACTGCTACTACTGCTACTACTACTACTGCTACTACTACTACTACTACTATGTAGCACGCACATTTCCAAGTGTATAGTTGACTTCTATCCGGGTTCAGGCCACTGGAATCTGAGCATCAGCATCAGCATCAGCACCCCACTGTCGACTTTTACTTAGTAAGGTTAGATATGTACCGCGCGTGCATGCGTACGTGTAAAACGCATGCACACACACACACACACACCGTTTTTTAGGAAGGACATGTCCGTGGCATAGTTGCCGGGCGCCCTGTACTGGCAGACGATGATCTTGCAGCCGCCCATAACGGTCCGGCCAGAAAATATCGGGATTGGGATGTCCGCCAGACCCACTCCGCATCCCACAAAAGATGTGCCCCGCCAAACCTGCAAATCGTATCGTGTTCCACCGAGTGGGCCGCAAGCGAGGAGCAAAGGGCAAAAAGCCGTTGAGCGTTGAGGCCGGAACCCCATGGCATCCTTGCACAGTCCAGTCCCATACAAATGGGTCCTTCGTGGAGTACAACTAACGTGGATTGCAACCGGGGGATTTTTCCAGCCAAGTCACCGCTCCTGATCGATCCCAGCACTGTCACCCACGATGTGTATTGTTTTCACTACCACCTAAACAGTGGAAGTGGATACAACAAGTATCCCTCGCTTGAGTTGCTTTCGCTAGTGCCGTCGAAGGGCTTGCTAACAAAAGATAACCGAAGATTTCAAACTATCGCAGAAACCTACAGTCTTGGCACGAAAGCCTCATTCATGTTTGCGATATGGTGCACACCCACCACTTGGCTGAAGTGCCCAATGCCTTTAGGCCAATTGCTGTAATATGGTTGGGGCGCGAAGAAGTTGTAGTACGCGACCTCGCTGTACCAACCGCTGACGGCCATCAGGCACGTGTTATCGGGCCTGGGTAACTGCATGACCTTCACAGACGTGGAGGGGGGGGGGGAACGGAACGACGAGAGACGCGTCGTGGATGGGAATACAAGTGAAAATCAAGGGAGAGATAAAGGGATCACACAATGTTAGCAGCGATGAGCCACGCGCGGACATACATACAGCGGCTACATATATGGCAGGCGGCTGGCAGAGGTTAAGGCCTGACTTCTGCTCCCAGTCGACCCAGTCGACCCGGGTTCAAATCCGCCTGCCGGCTCCTCGGGTGTTTGAGGAGTGATGAAATGGGAGGTGGCCCCCCATCTTATGGACGGTGTAGGACGTGATAATATCAACTTGCGAGCTGACCAGGAACTAAGTTGATGCGCCGTTGATCCGCTAGATTTGGTTGGATGCTGGTGGTGAGTTGCCGAACCCAACGAATACATTCTGAAGTCGGATGGGGTGACGGATTAGGGTGCCCCTCTAGCAGGGGAGAGCAGGGACTGCCCCGGGAAAGGGGGCCGCTGGCGAAGTTGACCACCCTGTAACAACATACATACAGCGGGTTCAAATCCGCCTGCCGACCCCTCGGTGTGTGAGGGGTGTTGAATTGGAAGGTGGCCCCCAATCTTGTGGACGGTGTAGGACGTGATTATAGCAATTTGTGAGCTGACCAGGAACTAAGTTGTGGCGCCGTTGATCCGCTAGATTTGGTTGGTGGTGAGTTGCTGAACCCAACGAATACATTCTGAAGTCGGATGGGGTGATTGGATTAGGGTGCCCCTCTAGCAGGGGAGAGCATGCCTCGGGAAAGGGGGCCGCTGGTGGAGCTATACCACCCTGTAACAACATACATACAGGCGGACAGTTCTGCAGGCAGTGGCTAGTAGTGGGGCTTGAAGGGACCTTCACAACCCTTCAGAGTCCCACATTTTTTGGTCAATCAGTAGGTAATCGGCTAATTCCTCTTAATGGATCCTATCCAGGCATCCAAGATGGTGAAGGCAGAGTAATGCTATACATATGCGTGTGTGTTACATGGTTGGGGGTTGCGTGCCCCCATACCTGTAAAACAACCCATACGAGCCGAAGGCCCAAGGAACATCTATACGCCTAAAAGCCACGGATAAAAAGAAACACCGCACTATCAGCCCAGACTAGCGCCCAAAGGGGATAACTGGGTTGCGGTGAGCCGTTACATACGTTCCAACATCCTCACCAGACGTACTGACTCCCATTTCATGGCCTCCAACATGCTCTGTTGATGATTAAATCCCTCTTCCGCACGAATTTCATTATAGACTCGGCATTCCAATAACACATGCTTTTCATCATCGACGTCCTGTACATATGTCTGCGGCATATGTGTGCCTAAAGCATGCACCCACGCATCACCTTTCCCCTCCGGCGTGTTCACCTGCATGATGTTTTCGCCGTAGTCCTTGCCACCGGAATGCTTGAGAGAGCAGCCGGCATCGGCCAGCTTTTGCGCGTAGGTGGTCGCCGAAGCGGCCAAGTTTGCGTCCCATTGCATGGGGCCTGCCTGGTGACGCGCACGGTAGACGTTGTGCTGAGCCAAGGTTGCTCGGGCGTCAGGGCAGTTGCCGCCTGTGGGAGCGGGATGGAGAGGCGTGGAGGGGTGGGGTGGGGCGGCGCGGGGCAAGGGTGTATGTCACAGACGATGGAGGTGGGTGTGCTTCAATAAAACTACCGGTTTTGAAGCGGTTAGCGAGGTCACACGGAGTGTGAACGCCAACAGCGTCACTTTGAGAGCTGCCTGACTTGGCAACGCCATCTTCGCACTATGAAGGTGAAAGGTGGAATCGCTTGAGAGTTAAGACGTACCTCCAAGTGATGGGGGGGGTCTCAACACTGGTGACCGAGGCACATTGGGAGGGGGTGGGGGTGGGGGCGGTGGGGGCGGTGGGGGCGGGCTTGCTAATGGGGGGGGCCTGGGTGAGACGGCTGGTCTCGGTGGGCTTCGAACAGGTGGGGGTCTGGGCGGGGGCTTGCGAGTTCGGGGAGATGGTGGCGGGCGCCTTGGTGACCTTGGCTGCCGTGGTGCGGTGGGCGAATCCGGTGCGTAGTCCGAGGAGTCGACGTCTATGCCTAGAGCCTCGCGCCGACTTCTCAACCGGACCTCGCCTGTGAGGTGTGAACAGTAAAGGTGGTCCAAACTTCATGAGCCATTTCAGAGGCAGCTTCAAGGTTTCTGTCGGCACATATTCAAACCCGTTTTTGACCAAGGAGAGCAACGAACATGAAATACAGGCATATTACTGTTTACACGTACTCACGCTTGCTATGGAAGCCATGGTCTGACATTCCCTGGACAAGAGACATGATTGTCAGGGACAAAGCTAGGATGGCGACAGTGCCGAGTTGACCCATCGTCTTCGTCTCCTTAGCTAGATAGTTAGGTATGAAATGAAAGTTGTGACGTTGGTATAAGCAACTTGCTTTGTTGATGTGACCTGGGCTAAGCAGATAGCATTTGTGCGTCACGTGTGTCTTTAAGTTGCCTAGGCTATATTTCTGTAGAGTATGTACGTCATATGTATAATTCGCCAAGCACTATTGAATCCATTAGTGATGGTTTCCGGCGGAAATCAAAGGTACCTGGCGGTCGTTCGTAAGCCTGTACGGAAAAAGCAAGCGCCCAACACAGACCGCAATGTTTATTTGGTGACGACGTTGCGGCGGAATCAGAGAATGTGAAATTATAGGTTCCAGGATGATTGTAAAACTTCTCTCATAGATATCAGATGCACTTTTTGATTACCTTTTGGAGAACTCTATGGCGTCCTACGTGACTAGGTTTTGAGAAAAATAAATTTTCAAAGCGAAACTCTCAACTTTCACCCTAACATAGAAGATTTACGTTTCCATGGAATGGCGGGCTCTGGAGGCGGCTGAAATGTCGTATGCGCACGCCCAACGTCGGCAATCCTCAAACATGCCATGACGACTACGTAAATACTCTCTATAACCAGCAAGCTTTGCGCGGGAATCGCTGGCTCTGGCCACGATGACGTGCTATGGCTATCTTCGGAATAAGTCGGAAGACCACCGTGCCGTGTTGTATCCGTTATTTTATAAGGCTTCGACAGATCACATAGCAAATGAGATCCAAAGAAGTAGATGACATCGCCAACCTGCATGAAGGGCAGATTGCCACGGATCCCTCAATCTTCGGAGCCTTCATCAGGTTTCTTTTCGATCATCTAGGAGAGATGCAGCTTACAATGAAAGAACCTGATCAGCCGGTCTCGTTCGACAATCCGGATAGTAACGCCGCCTTACTCGCTGGCGGCTTGTGCTTTTCATTTCTGAAACCACCGTCCAAACGACATCTTCACTGCAACAAAAATTTAGATATCTTTTCCTATATGATCAAGATAAACCGCAGCTCCGCGCATACAGCCCGAACCACAGTTTGCAACTGTCCCTCGCGACCTCGCGGTTTGAGGCTTACGCGGGAGATTTTAACCTTGGCGAGCCCACAGAGTACGCCAGGCATCGTGCATAGAGACCGTTGAGCACATTCACGCACGCAGGGATGTAACTGGGGCAGCCCTCCGTTTGGAAGGCTCGGCCTGCTGGCCTGCGCCGTTGCCTATGACCACGCACCCTCTTGTTTTGCCTACCCACCTGTCTACGTGTACATCCGCCTGGCTACCTGCCCACCGTCTGCCTACCTACCTGCTTCTCTGTCTGCCTGCCTACCTGCCAGCCTGCCTGCCTAATGCCTGCACAGGTGCTACTGACAAAACTTGAACTTTCTTCGACGATAAATGCTTTGCCAGGGACAGGATTTTTCCATTTCACTAATGAAAAAATTCCGTACCCTAGCTTGACCGTAGTTTAGAGGCTTCTGCTATGACATGAATTTTGCGCCACTTCGCTATATTGAACCGCCGTCGCCAGTCGCGACAACGCGCGATAACGGGGCAAAAGTTAAAAACGTCGACAGCTGCGTTGCAGCCCAGGTAGTTGTATTGCTTGCGATGTTGTGTCTATCTAAAGGACGCGCGATTTGCTGCTGGCCTAGAGGCACAAGTTCTACTCAACAGCTCGATGCAACCGACCCAAAGTTATCGATTACCTTTGACCACATCTGTCTTGAAAAAAAAATTCGGAAAACTCAGAAAATACGGGACACGCTCAATAATAATAATAATAATAATAATTTGGATACAGCAATCGCTCCAATAATGTGCTGCGTGTTGCCTGCCCTCGACATCGAGCTGCTGCTTACGCTTTATTTCCCAGTCTGGTTCCAACTTGTGGTTTCCGAGGCTCCCCGACGGCGCCGGCAGCGCACCTTAGTCCTTCGTTACCGACAGCTGGGCGATCTCGTCCTATGTAAAGCAAAATTTTGCAGAATGGGGGCATAACTAGCCAAGCGCCGTGCCCCATAGTGTCGCAAGCATCCTCTCCAGCTCGCAAGCATCCTCTCCCACTCGCTGTGTTTTACACGTGCTTCCAAATATGGCACAACCAAGATGATGACGCCGCTGGGAATCATCGAATGGAGATAAGATCGTCCTGAGATCGCTAAACCAAAAGCGCATAACAAACTAAGGAATAGGAGGCGCGCCAGCAGAACAACCTACTACTTATACAACTACTACAACTACTACTACTCAGACGGACCGACTCAGCAGCTCTGCAACATCACATAATAACCGGTCATGCATCTTAATATCGTTGTCTATTAGGCGATAAATATAGCCGACGATAGCCTATGGCTGTAGTCCGCACCGTCTACAGTCGAGCTCGGCTATATCGCCTGAACTACTGGGTCGGGTTGACTAATAGTCGAGAAGAGGCGCTAGAGTCGATCAGAAAAATGCAGACGGTCCGGTCCCCCTTCGCTGATGCACATACACGGCTTAACCAACCGGTCCGGCCAGTTTGTGCCTGGTCAGTAAAAGCTCTCAGGCTGCGTCCCAGCCGGCGTCCCAGTAAAGAAGCTAGCTACGGCCCACGCCCCGCCTACACGTCATCAGGCGGCGTGGATAAATTTCCACAACAAATAGGTAGGTAGACAGATGCGGGTTGGTCACGCAATGCCATCCGAAGACCTCGTAAGTCGGGAAATAGCTAGCATAGCACAGCAGCGGACAGAACAAGGGGCTTCGCCGAACCAGGAAATCAGGAAACCTGATGTGATGTGACAATAATGTGGAGGCGCATCATGGAGAGCCCTGCAACAACTAACCCTTACATGTATAGCATCGTCTAGACAAGCTGAAGGCCCATAGACCTGCTAATGAAATTCAGCGGAAGTACTTTTGGAGTTGAATGGAAGGCTGGAAGGAGAACACACGTCACGCAAGGCGGATGAGAGCGGGACCATCTTTTTCCAGCATCTAGGAAGGCCTTTTCGGCGGCTGGCAGCAGGATCACCGCACAGCACGAACGACTCAGCAAATAATCAAGAAAGGCACCACACCCACGACTAGGACGCAGGCTGATATGTGGCCCCACCCACTCCCCAAACAAGCTAATAAGGACGACACGAACGCAGGTGCGTGAAAAGCCACAAAGCTAGATAGCCCACAGACGCAGCGTACTAGCTGCTGCCGCACAGCACCCCGACGTCTCCTCTTCCCACACCAGCCATCCTTCACCCCTCGCAAAGACACAGACCCAACTCGCTTCCAAAGCAAGACATAAATGCAGAGGACAATTGAAGCTGTAGTAGCTGGCCTCCCGCTGAAAAGGCCTCCCGAGATGCTGGTGAAGCGCTTCGAGCGCGTATTTGTAGCTGATATGTGTGCCGTACTGTGTACCAACAACTGCAGAGTCATGCATGAACGGCTGGGCGGATTACAAAGATGGAATCGCCGCGCGAGGGCGGAATGGATGTGCTGACCCCGTTGCCCGCAGCAATGAGTACCTTTCACAAAAACCTAGATAACTCAAGGTATAACCTAACTGTCACCGCGTCATAACCCTTCTATGGAGACGCATGCATTCATGCATGCAAGGTACGCCCAGGCATGCATGCAGCTTGATTGCCCAAGTCCTTGGATGCCTCTTCATGCATGCACCAATTGGTGCGTATGTCGTGGCTGCTGCTGATTCGTACGTTGTCGCCCTATGGCAGCCAGAACCGTGTCTGCAGCGAATCAAAATTCAAAGCACGCACTCTATGATATGATAAGCTGCATTCCGTGGACTACTTTTAAGCTTGACTTTTTATGGCTATAAATAACCACGCTATGCGTGCTGATCCCATCCGCCTTAACTATTTCCTGCTGCAAACACGCGCTCAACCACGCACGCATGCGCGTGCTTGCGTCGTCATAAGGCAACAGGGGATGGCTGGTTGAATGAACCCTAAGCATGCAACCCCCGCCGCTTAAAGCCACATGTCAAGTGTGCCCACCCTGCGTAGATCCTTGCCTCCAGTGCAGCCGCTTGAAACGTTTCCCCGAAAATATCCTATCGTAGGTGGACAATAATAATAGACACAGCTATATAGATATTGTACCCCTACGGCAAGCGGCCGTCATTACTCAGGCTGAGTAATAATGATGCGCCCGCGCGCCAGCAGCGCCATCATGTGTGGGGTGTGGCCACCATCGTCGTCGTCGGGTCATGCAAGCTTAAGGTTCTTGCATGGTGTGAATCTCGGCCTGTCTGTCCGTCCCAATCGCCACACTTCTTCCCCGCTGCCTGCTATTCATTTCACATTCACTTCTGCTGGTTGTTGTCACGTACGGATGGACACGACCGATGATCGTATGTATGTACGTCCGGACATGCAAATGATTAGCGCCTGAGTAGCAGCAGTGCCTTGGGAGGCCAGCACCCACTCTATAAATAGTGGTATTGATCCAGCACCACTGTAGAACGCGTATCATATGGTGGTAGTTGGCAGCAGAGTAGTGGTCGATGGCAGCAGACCTAACCGCAGGTGTATTAGCGCGCGGAATTCCATTTCACAGCACAGCGCCTTGGAGCTCCTGAAGCTAGATAGCTATAGGTATATAGGCGGTCCTGCTACTGTTTGCCAGAAGGTACGCTGTGGACCATTTGCTGTGAGGCTATATATGCTATTGCGGATCGTCCCAGATAACTATGGCCGAGCTGTTGCGCAGTACTGCAGGTACGGGAAGCCGGGGGGAGGGGCAGCAGGGGATGTGAAATAAAGCAAGGCGCGAGCGCACAGCAGACACAGACGGTAGCAAGATTGATCTGATCGTGACGATGCAGCATACACGCACGGCTGCCAGCCATTTCACCTAAACCCTACGCTAACACACAATGAGGGGGTTGCGTGGCACCTGAGCTAGCGTATGAGGCTGGCAATAGGATTCGAACAGATGACGGCGCCTTGCGGCTATGAGGGGTGACGGTTACGACCCGACACTGACAGATGGAATTAATGTCCTTCCAAAAGATACAAAGCATTAGGAGATTTACCCATGGGGGTGGGTATCGTCTCCCGGCCATAAGGGGCTAATGAGATGGGTGTAACAAATACACACACAGATGACACACACACACAGACACAGACACAGACACACACACACAGACACACAGACAGACACACATATCAGCTTAGCCCCCATCAACTCTCGCTTTCCTGCAGCACAAGCCGCGCCTTTAACGGGACCAATAATGGGATTTCCAGTCAGGCAAGCAAGCAGTCGAGCAAATAAGAGAAAAAGCTTGTAATAAACTCGTAAACATTACAGGCCACTTACCGTTTACCGCGAAGACATTGTCGGAGGGGATGTTGCCAGCCCATCTGTAACGGCACACAACCATCTTGCAGGCGCCGATGTACGTCCGCATGTTAAATTCTATGGGGTGACTGTAATTCACCGCAACACCGCAGCCAATGAGGGTTGTTGACCTCCAAACCAACTGCGTAAAATGCCCAACCATCTGAGATTGGTACCAATTGTCTTTGAACAGCCGCTTAGCATCAAAATTGTAGTACATGACCTCTCGGTACCAGGCAGTGGGCGCCAGAATGCAGGTGCTATCGATTGAGGGATAGCCCCGCTTCGTTACAAGATTCTCTCCGTCCATACCCATGGAATGCGCGAGGATGCAGTCCCTGCGAGCCAACACATGGGCATAAGCGGTGGCCTCCGCGGCCATCTCCGCGTCCCACTGCAGGGCCGGTGTTTGATGCCGAGCGCGGTACCAGTTATGGCGCTCCAGGATTGTTTTTGCGTCGGGGCAGTTGCTGCCTGCGTGGCGGCGCGGGGAAGAACCAAGTCGATGAAAAACATCTGCGCATCGCTCCGTTTATTATTATATATTTATCTTGGGATGCGCGGCAGCAGCATGCGGATACGTTGGAGGAGGTTATCAGTACGCGTATGTCAGTATATGTTATCAGTATGTGTTTGTTGGAACGGCGGAATAATAATGGGACAATACGTATACATGTAATAGAGCACGCAGCAGAAGGAACATGCATGTATGGTCGACGCCGCAATATCATTTCATCCTATAAAAACATCATCATCATCAAACGCACTAAGTAGCGTGATGATGGAATGAACAGGTAAGTGGCATGGATGTTGCGCACAGCAGGCAGGAGGAGGATATGTACATACATTCAAATAAATAAACCTTAAGTGCGAATTCAATACGCAAATGGCTTCTGGTCCCGTGCACATTTATGCACATGTATTTACTGTTATGAATTGTATGAATGGATGCTTGCTGATTAACTTAGGTTGTGCTATACAGCATGGTTGCCGGCGCATGGCACCAGAGCTCGCAAGCAAAATTCAGTCCTAAATGCAGGCCAACCCTCAGTTTATTACGAGTGTCGCCATAGTATTATTGCTGCCTGACCTGGGAGGGTGCCATTACCGGCGGAGACGGGGGGCGGCGGTGGTGGTGGCGGCGATGCTAGCGAGCGGGGCAGAGGCGGCATCAGAGGCGGCACAGGTCTTCGAGGAGGCGGACTGCGTGGAGGCAAGGGCGGTGGAGGCGGCCGAGGCTTCGGGGGCGACGGAGGCGGCCGACTCCTTGGCGGCGGGCGAGGCGGCCGCGGCGGGCCAGCACGCCTGATGTTAACCATGATCGGTCGGGGTGGTTGTCGGGGGCTTGGGGGGGGACCTGTGTGCGAGCGGATAAATTGTTGCAATCTACTTTGTTGTCATTCATTAGCCAATCCTGTTTCCGTCAGCAGGTAGGCAGGCAGATAGGCAGGCAGCAACGAAATGCCATTATCGCCACGGAAGGCAGGAGATTTCTGCCAATGAGATTTGTCCTGGCGAAGACTTGGCTGGCTGGTGTGCAACGGCGCGTATGTGGGACGGCGGCCGGGGACAGATAAACACCGTCACTTGCATCTGCATGGCCTCCATTTCCCTTCGTTTCGGGGCAACCTAGTCTAAACAAGTTATTAGGGGATATACATACAGCATCCGCTCACGTCCGGGGGCATCTGTAAAAGCCTGCGGCCCCGGGCGGCCTCATGAACGGTTCTTTGTTGTTACTGGATAATAACACATACACACACATACGCACACATACACACATACACACACATACACACACATACACATACATACACACACATACACACACATACACACACATACACACACATACACACATACACACACATACACACACATACACACACATACACAAATACACACACATACACACACATACACACACATACACACACATACACAAATACACACACATACACACACATACACAAATACACACACATACACACACATACACACAATGGGAGGTGGCCCCCCATCATATGGACGGTGTAGGACGTGATAATATCAACTTGCGAGCTGATCAGGAACTAAGTTGATGCGCCGTTGATCCGCTAGATTTGGTTGGATGCTGGTGGTGAGTTGCCGAACCCAACGAATACATTCTGAAGTCGGATGGGGTGACGGATTAGGGTGCCCCTCTAGCAGGGGAGAGCAGGGACTGCCCCGGGAAAGGGGGCCGCTGGCGAAGTTAACCACCCTGTAACAACATACACACACATACACACACATACACACGCATACACACACATACACACATACACACATGTTGTGGTCCTAATAGCCGAATTGAGGATGAAAAACACGTGTTATTGGAATGCCCAGCCTATAATGATATTCGTGCTGAAGAGGGATTCGATCATCAACAGAGTATGTTGGAGGCCATACAATGGGAACCCGCACGCCTGGCGAGGATGTTGGAACGTATGTGGGCTCACCGAAACTCAATTACCCCATTTGGACGTTAGTCTGGGCTGATGTGCGGTGTTTTTTTCCTTTTCTCCGTGGCTTTTAGGCGTTGTAGTATTGCCCTTGGGCCTTCGGCTCGTATGGGTAGTCTTACAGGTATGGGGTCACGAACCCCCGAACCATGTAACACACACACACACACACACATACACACGCATACACGCACATACACACATACACACATACACACACGCGTAGAAACGTACGTGCGTGCATCTAGCAGGAAGAGTGTGTGGCCGCATCGCGAAGGACAAGCAATCTGGTGCAAGGCGAGACTATCCTTGTAAACACGCGGCATTGTTGTTAAATAGCATAGACTTCCATCTCTGTTGCATGTATGATGTTTGAAACAGGGGAGTATATCTTCACCCGAGGCAGCTACCCTGCGAAACCCTGCCTTCCCCGGTATATCGGGGCACCCTCATCCAGTCACCCTAGTCAACTTCTCAGTGGGTCGCTCAAGTTCCGCACCCACCACCAGCATCTAACGGAATGTGACGGGTCGACAGCGGCCCAACTCCATTCTTGGTCGGCTCGCAGGTTAACTTTATCCCAGGTCACCAACGTCCATCAACTAGGGGCGCAATACCTTCCACCATCGGAAGGATTTTCAACCCTGACAGGTCTCGATCCCGGGATGACTGTTGTATGTCCGCCGATGTCAGGCAGCTCTATCTGCTGTGCCATCTTAATCGTTGAGTACGCCTCCACACGTTTTACGTACTTTTGCATGAGGCCGCGAAACGCTAAAGCTAAAGCTAAGCAAAAAAACACGTGGGGATTTAACCCGTGAAATAACAGGCGTTTCGCATTCTTTCCTTTGTTTCCCCGGATATTCAGACAACTAGCCTCGCGGCGGCGCGTGCGGAGAAAAAAAAACTATTACTAAAACACCATTGGGGGATTACTCACGCTTGCTAGGGGTTGGGCGTGTTTGGGCCGCTGCTGGCTCCAGCAATAGCAGGGCCGTGAGGAGCAGCTGCGTCGTCAGCTTGACCAGCAGAAGCCATGGTTGCGCCATTTGCGGCAGCGCAAAGATAATAAGCGTTTCGCGGGTAGGTAGCAAGCCCGTAAGGGTGGTTGGCAAACGGCCGAGAAGATGAAAGGTTCTTTTTAATTATTGGTGATCAACGAGCGAATCAATGGACCACAAATGTTGTCGGCAATATACTGCAATAAGCATGTGACTATTAACTTATTATCGGGAAAAAAAATTAAATGGGATTCTCAGTGCTGTTAGCATACGCGCTTGCTCTTGACTGACACAGCTCGTACAATGCTGTGCTTGTGTCTCTTCAGGCCAGCTAGGCAACTGCCAATAATGTGTGGCACCAGCAGAGATTCCGAGATGGTAATGTCCGTCTTCATCTTGCGGGTTAATATGCCGAAACACATAATATCCGCTTTCCTGTGGAAAAGCTTGGTATAAACAAATTACAGGTTGGGTGACGAATAGCTCACCGCCTGCTGTTATATCGATTACAATGCATCCGCTGTCAAGCTACGCCTCTTACGTACGTAAAGCCATAAAAATAAATTCTTTCTAGTTATAGAAAAACGCAGGACTGAAATATTGCATGTTGCACGACGCACGGATGCATTATGTATACTCGCTCGCGCGATCGCTCGATAATCGATAATCGATGTCGTGGCTAGTTATGAGTCGACCTCCCCGCCTACGAGCCATGTCCCTGTCCGCCCTGCTGCTCATCAGGACCGGGTTCCAACCCTTGCTTGAAGCCGCCGAAGTAATTCGATCTCAAAGGCTCTACTATCTTGTAGTATGCATATGTAGCTTTTCTCATCATAACAGCTTGATGGAGGTTTGCAAACGATTAGCAGGACAACGAATACGCACGTCGCTAGAGCTCGGCAGGCCTTGCTTGCTCGGCGGGCCTTCATCTATCCATGCATTCTCTATCGGCACGCCACCTTTATTATTCGCCTCTATCTGCACTGTGCCCTGCATGCACCACCGTGTACATCCTTGCATCGTTTTCTGCGTGGTAATATTGGACTTATTATATTAGCCTATCATGTCTCACAAAACATTTAAAGGAACATGCATGTAATAATGCTTTGGGAAGGCCGAATACGTCTGCTAACTCCTTCGCTCGTTCGCTCGCTCCCATCGTGTAGTGGTAGATAGTGGTGTCGGCGCGCACTGCGCGCGCTGCGCAGCTGCAGCATTTACTGTTCCGGGTACATAGCTACCTGCAGCAGCAGCATGATTTGCTCCATCTATCCTACATACTTGCAAGAACAAGTGTTGCAAGTAAACAGCTCCCATCCGTCGTCCCGTCATGCATCGTCTGCAGCAGCTAGCAGCAGCAGCTCTCCCTTTTCCCGTATGTAGTTTTAAGTTCTGTTGTATACGCGTATGTAGTAGCTCACAAAGCAATACCCTACCTGGCTAATCGACGGATCAATTTGACGATGGCTGCGCATGCATGTGTAAGTACGTGTGTGGTTACGGTGTAAATACGTGGTCCCCACAGACTAGCCGCTGCAAAGCTAAGCATGGTCTCCTCCCCGAACGCCTGGTTGGCATTCACGTTCGCTACGTGCGTTGCGACCGCATTACGACAACAAGGTTATTATTACTAGCTGCTGTCCGCGCATGTATGTGTGTGTATGTGTATGTGTGTGTGTGTGTGTGCGTGTGTGTGTGTGTCTGTGTGTGTGTGTGTGTCCGGATCCGCATGCAAACAGCAGATAGCTGGCGATGACGCCACATGCTGCTGCTGAGGATTAATAACCAGCTAAGAACATGAAGTAACAAAATTAATATAATGCCTGATAGGCTGCTCGACTGTGTGCACGAATGTTCACCCATACACCCACCAGCGTGCATAGCGGGCGGGGGTGAGGGATAGAACATTTGGCGGTGGGCGGCTGGATGGCGTTCCACACCATAGAGAAAAAGCACAGCGTCCCTGTAAGAAGCACGTTTGGCATAGAGCATGGAACGATTTATAGTATACCATCCTTTTGCGCACCGTATGTATCAAAAGTAGCAAGACGCACGTGCATACGCATGTGTGTTGTATCACGTCTTATCGCAGGAAAAGAACCGATCGGCGGATGTCAATGCCGTGATACCCAGGATACTACAATGTGTGTGGATGTTTGTGTGTGTGTGCGTGTGTGTGTTACATGGTTTGGGGTGCGTGACCCCGCATACCTGCAGAATTACCCATACGAGCCGAAAGCCCAAGGGCAAGACCTGAACGCCTAAACGCCACATAAGAAGGATACACCGCAATTAAGGGAGAAGATAGAACTAGCGCCCAAAGGGCACAGCTGAGTTGCGGTAAGCCCGCATACGTTCCAACATCCTCGCCAGGAGGGCTGGCTCGCATTTCATGCTCTGTTGAAGATCGAATTTCTTCTTCCGCGCGAATACCATTAAAAGCTATTTTTCGTCCTCGACTTGGTGCCACTTTTGGTTCCACAACAGCTCTGGATCCGCTGCTCCCTGGGGACGTGGTGCCTGCCCCTTCGGGTTTTGTTTGCCTCGAAATCCCAGCAAAATCAACGAAAGTGCATTAGCCTACGATGCGCTAGAAGAGGAATGAAAACTTAGCATAAGTTTGCTGCATGATGTGCATACGTTGTCGTACATGGTCATACGTGCGTTGTGTGCGCTTGCCTCACCGACATACCAGCAACACATACCAGCAACACCCTGTCGCATTGCATCATCACGCAGCAAGCACCTGCTGGGCCATTTTGCGTCCAACCATCTGCGGTATCACTCCTACCGGGCGTGAGTGTGTATAACGTGTACCCAGCCACCCCAGCCAGTGTATTATCACAACTTCAGGAAAGTACACCTATCGGCGGATGCATATCTCTCTCGTGACATGACCAGGATACGACAGCCAGCCAGCCAGCCAGCCAGCCAAACAACCGAAGCGTATCTACCTTCTCCTGTGTTACTGACTATGTGAAACGTCATGGAGTAGCTATATACAGGCACCTACGGCGCATGAACGGAGTAAAAATAGCTACGGGTAACGTTCATTCCAGGACGACCATTAACCCACCCCGCGTTTATTGGAGTAGTTGATCCGCCTGTTGGTTGATCAGTGATATCACCCATCATTGATGAAAGGGTTGGGAGCTGCGATTGATTATTGAGACATCACCAATAGTAGTAATATGTTCTCGCAGGCAGCTGCAGGTACACGCCGTCCCTGCTGTCCGTGTTTCCAGCTCCCACCGAAACCGTCCACTGCCATTTGGTTGGATGTTCAACCAGTCCTCGGGCACTCTCGCAGCTACCATCAGCTGCCATCCGGCGCCACCTCGCGCTGTACATTTATTTGTGGCACAGGGCCGCTACTAACTAGCGATTGGGGCCGGACTGCTCTGACCCTCCTGGAAAGGTGCCTGGGCAATACTAATAATCTGGCCTATCTGACGCGCTTCCTGATAAGCCACCGCTAATGTTCCAACCCGAACCTACGACCTTGCCATCACGCACAAGTCCTCTTCCTCAAGGATTGTCTGTTCCGACGATGATGAACAGAATAAAAGAAAGCAAAAGGGTTTGATGTCACTTGCTGCGGCGGGCTATACATCGTGCATATGATGTATCGTCCAAATAACGTGGCCGACCCATGATACATACGTAGCCCACTGTAACCACCACAAACACAAACACAAACACAAACACAAACACAAACACAAACACAAACACAAACACAAACACAAACACAAACACAAACACAAACACAAACACAAACACAAACACAAACACAAACACAAACACAAACACAAACACAAACACAAACACAAACACAAACACAAACACAAACACAAACACAAACACAAACACAAACACAAACACAAACACAAACACAAACACAAACACAAACACAAACACAAACACAAACACAAACACAAACACAAACACAAACACAAACACAAACACAAACACAAACACAAACACAAACACAAACACAAACACAAACACAAACACAAACACAAACACAAACACAAACACAAACACAAACACAAACACAAACACAAACACAAACACAAACACAAACACAAACACAAACACAAACACAAACACAAACAGACACACATCTGTATTTAAACATGCACGCACACGCACGAACTAGCTACTGTAGTGCGGGCCCTCACGATGTCTGTTTATACATCAGGTAGTTACCATCAATCGACTGATATACATACATGCGTCCATCCAACAAATAAAATTCATGCCACAACTACAGCTGCTACAGAAAAGTACTGATCGGTGGATGCAGATCCCATGATATTCCCAGATATTCCCAACTCATTTATCCCCCCTCTAGCAGTGGAGGGCGACCTCAACCTCAGCCAACTCAGGGTCTGTAGTAGCGGGTACACAGTACGCCACACATAACCTCTACAAATACGCGCTAAGTGCGACCGCCAGCAGCATCTCGAGAGGCCTGCTTTTCGGCGGCCAGCTACTACAGCTTCCTGAGTCCCTATGTGGTGGCAGCACCCGCGGGATACCCGGCGGTCGCCAGGCCTTTAACGCCCCGCTAAGCACGTACAGGTGAGATTCAAACCCAAGTTAGGAGTGGGATTCATGTAGGCGGTCATCTAGCACATAACGACATAACGACTACAACTGCTACAGCTAAGTACCTACTGGCGGATGAAGTGCCCGTGAAATGTCCAAAATACAACAATGAACCTCATGGCTTAAGCAAAGCCGGAAGGAAATACATCGCTGCCAGCATGCAGCACGCAGCACGCACAGCTCGATGGCGATGTGGCGAAGGCCCCCCTGGGGTGGGGCCCACCTTTAAAAGCAAATGAATGTAGCCGGATAAAGTCCACGCACGCACGCACGTGTGCCAATTACGAATGGCAGATTTACCTGGCTATCCGTTGACATGCTGCCCCTATTGCTTAAACAGCTGCGCTCCTAGGCTCCCAGCAGCAGTTATTTACAGACAAATCGTAAATTTTGTTAATTTACGTAAGGGACGTACATGAAGGATAGCTGTGGCTATGCTTGAACCATCCCGATAGCTGGATAGAGCGTGCGCATCCGTACGTCGTGATGTGACAACAGCGGCTTTGTTTTTTTCCGCTCCGCCATTGTCGTCCTTGATGTGGCGCAGGACGGATCATATCATATCATCTTTATTGAAGGCTGCTGGCGACAGCGATGCGTGAGGGGGGGGCGGCGATGTGTGTGTCTTGCAGCATTCCACAGTATGGCTGGTATGGTAGTCATGTTGATGTGCGTTCCTCATGCATGCCAAAGTAGTCATGTTGATGGTGCTTCACTCGTTACACCACAGCAGCACTGGTGTTGCGTAGCACTGCGAGAGCGGCACACGGGGCATTCGGCATATGCTTGGACACGGAAAGGTCTGCAGCGGGCAACTACACTAGGGTCCAATATTACTGCTCCACAGGGGTTGCATAAAATGGATGGATAACCCGTCGCATTATCAGCTGGCAATATTGCCATTAAAAAATGCAAGACAAGCTAGGAGCACTGATCCAACCATGCATATATTTACCTCATACAAATGAGACACCCTACAATACTCTACCAAGCCGGCGTGTGTACACACGTGGTTGCCGGTACACGCGGGGCTGTTAGCTGTCAGGCGTCTGCTGTCTGGCTGCTGGCTCGTCACTCGCTCACTCACCGTTCTTCAGGAAGGACATGTCGCTTTGCCAGTTACCGGGCGCCTTGTAGCGACACACCACAACCTTGCACCCGGCTGCCAGGGTTTTACTTCCAATCCGTATAGGCGTCTCCGCAGATCCAACTCCGCAACCAATGGTTGACGTGCCCTTCCAGACCAGCTGGGAGAAGTGGCCAATGTTTCTGGGCCAGTTATCGTAATAAGGCTGAGCAGCGTCAAAATCGTAGTTTACGACCTCAGCGTACCAGCCCCTGGCTGCCAGTGTGCATGTATTGTCGGGTTTAGGAAAGGACTGCTGCGATAATAAATTCTCACCAGCATCGCGAACGCCTGAGTGCTTGAGCGCGCAATCGTTATCAGCAAGTTGCTGTGCGTAAGCGGTGGCAGCGATGGCCAAATTGTTGTTCCATCGAAGAGGTGGCGCCTGGTGCCGGGCACGGTAAAGGTTGTGCAGATCAAGAAAAGCTTGGGCATCCGGACAACTGCTGCCCATAAGCTCAGAGGGGCTTGGTGGTGTCGGGCTTTGCACTGGCGGCGCCGGGCTTTGCACTGGCGGCGCCGGGCTTTGCACTGGCGGCGCCGGGCTTTGCACTGGCGGCGCCGGGCTTTGCACTGGCGGCGCCGGGCTTTGCACTGGCGGCGCCGGGCTTTGCACTGGCGGCGCCGGGCTTTGCACTGGCGGCGCCGGGCTTTGCACTGGCGGCGCCGGGCTTTGCACTGGCGGCGCCGGGCTTTGCACTGGCGGCGCCGGGCTTTGCACTGGCGGCGCCGGGCTTTGCACTGGCGGCGCTGGGCTTTGCACTGGCGGCGCTGGGCTTTGCACTGGCGGCGCCGGGCTTTGCACTGGCGGCGCTGGGCTTTGCACTGGCGGCGCCGGGCTTTGCACTGGCGGCGCCGGGCTTTGCACTGGCGGCTGGGCTGGTGTTGGCATCTGGTCCGGGTTGTACGGCTGAGGATTTCCAGGCGGCCTTGGAAGGGGAGGCGACGGGGTCTTACTCTGTGACAGTCCTGCTGGCTGATGAGCGGCAAAGAGCGGCGAGGGAGCCGTCGGTAGAGGTGCGGCGTTAGGCTGGTCGTCCATCGCTAGGAGGATTTGGCGCCCGCCACGCAGCCCGACGAAGCCTGTGAGAAAAGGTGGCCGGTTGAACAAATCGATGACAGATATATGGGCGTTTGGGGATGCAGTGCCCTAGCAGATATGGAGGTTAGGTAAGTAGCTGATGCACACAAACAAAGATTCGAACACAACTAGAAACGCATCCGATAGTTAGCCCTCGGCCATACATCTTAATTAATCTTGCGCACTTACAAGAAACGTACTCCTGCCTACGTTTGCGCACATACTTGCTCCTATTTACTTGCTCCTATTTACTTGCTCCTACGTAGCATACTACTTCTCCGGCCTACAAGTGCTTTATCCGAAATCGAAATCAAGGATAAAATTTTATAACTTACGGTCTCCACGGAGTTTTGCTTGCGCTGCTGTCTGCTGCGAAAGCATCAGGCCGAGAATGAAGCCGATCAGAGCCGTCGCTGTTGTCGGGGAAGTGACGACGGCTTGCCGAGCCATCGCTCCTGGCAAACACCGATCTTACAGGTGAATGTTTATAGAATGAAATTCCTGCCTGGGGTGCGCTGTTCCTCGCTAGAGTCGGAGCTGGACCGCAATCTTCGCGGCGCAACACTGCAAGCTGTGGGTGGGCGGCGGAGAGGCGCTAAGAAAGGTTGCCTTATGCGCAAGGAGCCTTGAGTTGTGCGCATTTAATATAAAATAATATATTTAAGTGATTCTTGGCCTTATGGTGTCGTAATATTACTGTGAGAACTTGGTGCCGACAAGCCGACTATGTATTTGTAAGGAATTGGGAGTACGACAACAACCACCGCTATGATCTCACTCTTCCCATACAAATGGTCATACCTCGCTCCATTCACCTCCCACATTGGCATCAGTCAGTCCGGCGACCACAACGCTTCATCCCTTTAGACCTAAGGGTTGTCTTTATTAGCTACCCTGAGCATAATTTTGTAAATATGCACCTGAGTGTAAATTTTTTGACTGGTAGCTAACAAGGCGCATTAGTAAGCAGCTAGCGGTTCCCATCGCGTTTCACTCGTGCGTTCGCTCCAGTGCGAGGCATGAGCTGGATGAATGTGCATTTCCTTATTGAGTTAATAACTGTGAATTAGCCCGCTGCCAGGCCACACTGTTGCTAATTGCGCTGGGTATATGCATGTATACCGCTCCTCCTCCTCCTCCTCCTCCTCCTCCTCATCATCATCATCATCATCATCATCATCATCATCATCATCATCATCATCATCTTATCACTTCTCTAAATGTATGTATACCCACCGCGGTAGCTGCATACCTTGCTTCGGGGAATCTGCCTCCCGGATTACCTGGCTGGCTGGCTTTATGTCTAAAGCTCTAGTTGCTGTACCTAATACTTGAATTCCTGCTGCACCTTCGCGGGAGGTGCTAGGGGCGGATGCTTGGGACTCGCATCGAGCAACTTCGTTCAGTACTAAGTCAAGCATGCTTGCACACGAGTCGACATGCACTGCGAACGGAACCGAACAGAGATGTCACAGACAAATGCCGCCGGCTGGCGGCGGCGGTCTAAGCAAGAAACTAAATCTGAATGCTCCATTGATTCAAAAGTTGAAATTCGCACCGATTGCTTGGCTTTTTCACTGGCTGCAGCCGCCCAGCTAGCTATCTTATCTTATCCCTCAATAAGCCCTCTTCCGCCGCAATGGAAAATCACTCTCGCTTAGCCAGCAGCGACTGCATGTCGGATATTTTGGACATTACAAGCTTCAATTACGGGCTCGTGCGGTGCAGACGAACCCGGAGGTTCATGAACCGCCTAAGAATCAAGCTAAAAGACAATGTTAGGTGTGTCAGGTTTACCGCGACTCCGCGCCTAGCTGGCAATAAAAACGCTGCAGCCAGGCTTCCGAACCCTCATAAGTAGGATTACTTACTTTCTTACAGCAGGGAGGCCATCGGACATCTAGACTGTTTGCCTGACGGCGACTGCAACGGCAGGTGCATGTATGATGAGTAGAAAGAAGCCAGCTGTAATAGTGAGCCCAAATTGTCCTACGGCTTTGTATACGTGCGTTCCCCTCTAATAAACCTCACGATGGGATAACTAACCGTGAAAATAAGCCACGAGGCAAGAGAACGTAGTTCAACTGAATTCGTTCCAAGTAACTCATTTAGCATGATAACTCACATACTTTTTGAAAGTAACGGAAATCATTAGCGGAAGGAAACGAACGACATCGCTAAACATTACAACGAATACGGCCCTGTCTGAAGTGCGAGGTAGGAACGGTGCGTATAGGCGATCTGGCAGCCCTTGCAAGGGCTCAATTGAGCCCTCGGCTCGTATTGGGCGTTTTGCAGGTACGGGGAATGCACCCCATGTAAAACACACACACACACACATGTGTGTGTACACACACACACACACATTAAGCAAGTACCGGTACGTATGTGACGCCGTTGAAATTAATCGCGCACCCCAGCCGGCACCATAACATTCCATCCGCCCACAAGAATGAAAGAAAGCCAGTCGGCTGCAGCAGGCTCAGTCGTCCTCCCAGACACACACACACGTCTGTATTTTTTTTGGTCGTCTATATCCTGAAGACCCGTCTATTAGACGAGTCATCTACAATAGTTCGTCTAAAGTCGAGTCGTCTATGCATGTCGTCTATAGTCGATTCATCTATTGTAGACGAAGGATAGACGATGGGTAGACGGTGAGAGGAGTTCAATATGCTGGAGAGTGTCTGCTTGGGTTAAACCATGCCGCTGAGTGATGTCTGTTCTGCATCAATGTTGGCAAGGTTCTGACAGGCTAACACTGCCTGGCATGTAACGATTATCGCCATACTTACAAAACCCCAGCACATGCTGTGGGGACCAGGCAGTGCCCAGCCTCTCCCACTTCCTTACCACAAAACTGTAGCAGTTTGAGATAATTGGGCAGACTTCAGTGTAGCCCATCCCTCATCGACAAGCCCACAACAAAGGCTCGTCATGGTCCTTTATAACTGCAATGTCTGGCAACTTCCCAGCACAGGCCATCTGGTTTTGAAAACTCTCACCAACACAGGCTGTGATGAACAGCCATTCCAACTCCACCACCCTTGCCATGTATGCATGGATGCGTGGTGTAACACCGCCCATAACCCGCAAGTCAATGTGCCCAGCTCAACATCAGCACCAGATCATCTTGGGTGGGTACTTCGACAGCAGTCCTTTCAGCACACTTCCTTGCCAAATAATAACACCAAGGGTCACACAGTCCTCCCCACCCCCCACACCCCCACCCGTGTGTACAAGAACTCCCCTGGCTCGGCTAATCAAACATCGCAGTGAACTCGGGGCCCATCTCGGACTCCAGTGGGTGGGTTTCATTTTCCACCGTCCCCGACTGCACGTAGAAGTGCAGTCGCGGTGACTTGCGACCCGGGATGGCGGCATCCCCTGCATGCACGGTGTTGCCGTGAAGCAGGATAATGTGGCCCGGCTGCATGATCAGCCGCAGCAGCTTCGGGGCACTCACGGAGGCCAGCGCAATCATTTTTGCACGTTTACTCTTGCGCTGAACCAGGCCTGCATAGGTGCGAACAGCATTGTGGCTCAATGGCGACACCAACAGAGAGCACGGCTCAAGTGGCACAATGGCGACAAGGCCATTTGCCCCGACAGGCATATCGATGTGGAGCAACTGCTCCCGGAGGGGCTCCTCACCGGGCAGGTTGACAAGCACCACGCCCTTCTGCACCCGCTGTGTGCCTGTCGCTACCTTTCCGAGCTCCGTGACGATGTACCGTTTCAATGGCTTCAGCAGCCGGTACAGCTCAGAGGCACGCTCGTACACCGGGCGGGAGAGACCCTCCTCCTTGTCCTGCCCCTCCTCACCCAGCTCCTCCCCTTGCCCCTCCTCCTCCCCCTGGATCCTCTCCTCCGCCTCCCCTTCCTCCTCCGTTCCTTCCTCCTCTCCCTCCCCCTCCTCCAACCCTTCCTCATCTCCTTCCTCCTCCTCTTCAGCCTCTCCGTCCTCCTCCTCCTCCCCCCCCTCGTCCATCACCCTTTCCCCTCCACCCTTTCCCTCGCCCTTGAATGCTTTGGGCTTCTTGGGCTGTTGCAGCTCTGCCTGGTACCGCTGTCCACCCTTGCCTGGTGTCACTACTACCCGGTGCTCATCCTTTTCGTCCCGGACGAAATTTCCACACTCATCCTTTACCAGCTCGTTGAAGATGGGATACCCCACCAGCTCACAGAACTCTGTGGCGTTGCTGGCCGCTTCTGTGGTGATGCGCTCCTTCTGTGGCACACACACACACACACACATACACACACACATACACACACACATACACACACACACGCACACACACACTCTTGTTAGTGTTGCGCCGCCCGACCAGCAGCGAACACCTCTTTCCTGTGTCGATCAACATCCCAACATGGTCAATATCCATCCTCCTCCCTGGCCCATCGATAGCGACAGCGGCGATATTCCATAACAGCCTCCACCTCGACCCGACGATGCGCTATAATGTGCTAGTTATGCCATTACGCAGCTCACAAACAGTGGCCTTGTTGCATGCTGGATACGTGCTTGACAGCTCTCACCCCTGACCGTGCGTGCGTCCCCTTACGAGATGCCCTGTCGGTAGTTTACAGGTTTACGTAGGTCGTGGGCGGCGGCACTGCAGGGAGGGGGCACCGTGCGTGTGTGGGGTGAGCGTGTGTGTAACATACACAGCTATTAATCACTGAGGACGACCTCCTGTGAGCTGGAAAAGAGAGTCATAGGGGTGGTGGTGGTGGTGGTAGTAGTAGTAGCAATGATGATAGTAATGAGATAATAATAATAAATAATAATAAATAGTAAATAATAATAATATAATAATAATAATATTAAGAGAGCAGTTGATACCGTAGCGGAACTAAAGATTTTACAAAATAAATAATTATTTGCATGCGGTAAAATATTTTGGCAAAATTCAGAGTCTTACCGTAAAATCTTTAGTTCCCGGGAGGGAACTCGGAGCGATGCGGTAAAATATATATGGCCCTTCGCGCACAGCAAGCTTTTGGCACTAGATCTTATTCTATTTTACACATAATATTGTAACATAATAATATATTAACCTATTTCTGGCAGCAGCATGGGCAAGCGCAAGCTCAGCAAACACCGCTTCATTGACAAGCTGCCGGCCATACCGGCGGCTTTTGCCAGCGAAGTGCAGTTCTCAGCACCTAAGGCAATTACGAACACGTTTTACTGACTTAGTGTCAATGCCTCCTCGTGACCGCTATTTGATCAGTTTCGCTGCATAACCATTGCGGTTGCAGCCCTTGCGGTGGTTGTTATAGCTAAGGGCTTATTTTGTTGGGGAGTAGGGAGTAGGCATTTGAGAGATGACATATCTAAGTTCTTACAAGCTGGTTGGTGTCGCCGGGCGTGAAGTGGCTGTATTTAGATGGTTACGATGGCCCTTTCTTGGAGCGTCGTGAAATGCTCTCGCGTCCTTCATCAATCATAAGAATTCTGCGGCTGGTACAGAATGGTGGATGTTTGGAGGCCTTGTCACGGTGGCTTGGCTTTCAGATGGGGGTTTACCATTTGGAGTTTCTTAATTTGAGACGTGTTGTGATGATTCTCATTTCCCCTCATGCGTGAGAGGGAGGCGGGCAGTGGTGTTGCATGGTGGGGTAGCTTTGCGGGCCGGTAAAATCCCAGGAAATCATCCACAGTACCGTAAAATCTTGGCAAAATCCACCAGCATGCGGTAAAATACTTCGTTCCGTAAAATATATTAAAATCCATAATTTTGCGGTAAAATCTTTATTTTGTAAAATCTTTAGTTCCGCTACGGTAGCATTCACTCCCCCAGTCCCCAGCCAACCAACTTGAGTTGTCATGCACTCTATCCGCATGCACCGCAGGCCCCACCACTACCACCACCACCACCACCGCCACCACCGCCACCACCACCACCAGGATCATCTGCCCCATGCCGGGGACTCACCGTTGTACAGATACTGTGCATTGCTCACAACGTTGCCCGCATCCATGTAACGGCACACAACTGAGAGGCAGCCAATGTTAAATCTAAAGCCACCCTGGTATTGGATTCTATTCCCTGTAGCCAGTCCGCAGCCGACAATTGATGTTGAGCGCCAGACCACCTGAGTGAAGTGACCAAGCCCTAGAGGAACATTAACGTCGGCTGGTTGCGAAGTATTAAAGTTGTAATATTGAATCTCGCCGTACCAAGCACCAACTGCCAGCGCGCACTTGAAGTCGGGGCTGGGTTGCGATTCGAATAAGGCTATGTTCTCGCCGATTTTGGTATCCGGGGAGTGTTCGTGTGAGCAGCGGGGCCCGATCACATCAGCCCAGGCCTGGGCGCTTTTGGCCAAATTGGCGTCCCATCGCAGGGGAGGGACCTGGTGAAGGCTACGGTAGTAGTTGTGAACATCCAGAACCTGTTGAGCATCGGGACAGACGCCACCTGCAGCCACCGCCATACGGCACACCCATATGCATAACATACACGCAATCTGTAAAGTGTAAGGCTGCTGCATTGCGGCACTAACGCTGGGTGTATTTGTGGGTGGGTGGGTGGTTTTGGGTTTTGGTGCGGGTGTGGTTGTGGGTTTGGGTATGGGTGTTGTTGTGGGTGTGGGGGTGGGTGCATGTATGTCCCGCATAATCCGCACTGGAAGTACACCCTAATACACATAGACGAACATGGCACTTAACACGGCGTCATCCGATACGGTCCGATATCATCTAGGACACGGTCGGAGCCTTGCCACCATAAGATATACGACAATGTGACACTTCTAAGTGTTTTTGCTGATACAGTGGATATGGCAATAATAATAATAGATAGTATTAAAGTGCAGCCCGCTCCATAAATTCAGATCTGATATTGCCGCACAGACAGCAGCGGCTTTGCCGCATAAACCATCAGTCGTACTTGCAGACGCGCGCATACCCAAGTAAGGTATCACTAGCGGCCGACCTGGAGTGGTGATGCTCAAGGGCGGTGATGGAGGAGGAGGCGGTCGCGGTGGCCGTGGGGACGGCGGGGGCGGCAGTGGGCTTGGCGGCCGTGGAAATGGGGACGGCGGCCGTGGGAATGGGGATGGCGGCGGTGGTGGCGGCGGCGGGCTTGGCGGACGTCTTGGCGACTGCGGCCGCGGCGGCGGCGACTTTTTCGCCACTGGCGAAGGTGGCGGCGACTTGGCAGCTTTTGCCCGCGGCGGGCGACGCTTTCCCTTCTCCGCAACTGCAATACGTTACCGGCAGGCAGGTCGAATACAGATACACGCTGCTGGGAGGGGGAGGAGGAGGTGCGGCCAGCGTGCGGAGGCGGGGAGCTCGCGCACAATAAAGTTAGACCTCTACCAGTAGGAGCGATAATAACGGCACTAAGAGAGCGTTTGATGAGCGGCTGGGACCATACGCGTCTGACTGTCTTGCCAGAGGAGTACCCATCAGATGGGAAGCAACCGGGAGTGCAAATGGCGAAGTATAAGCACTGGATGGGGCTGCCCTTTTCGGGAGCCGCAGCCGTCATGTGGCCAACACATGCTAAGGTTTTCATTCCTCGTTTAGCACATCGTAAGCTAATGCAGTTTCGTTTATGTTGCTGGGCTTTGGAGGCGAACAGAGCACGAAGGGGCAAGTACCATGTCCCCAGGGGGCAGCGGTTTTGCCACTGTTGTGGTCCTAATAGCCGAATTGAGGATGAAAAACACGTGTTATTGGAATGCCCAGCCTATAATGATATTCGTGCTGAAGAGGGATTCGATCATCAACAGAGTATGTTGGAGGCCATGCAATGGGAACCCGCACGTCTGGCGAGGATGTTGGAACGTATGTGGGCTCACCGAAACTCAATTACCCCCTTTGGACGTTAGTCTGGGCTGATGTGCGGTGTTTTTTCCTTTTTCTCCGTGGCTTTTAGGCGTTGTAGTATTGCCCTTGGGCCCTCGGCTCGTATGGGTAGTCTTACAGGTATGGGGTCACGCACCCCCAACCATGTAACACACACACACAATAAAGTTAAATGATGACTCAGCAAGCAGCTGCAGGTCACATGGGTAGTGCACACGCAATGCGCGCAGGACTTTCTCCCAGTTGCTGTCTGTTACATACGTAGTAATGGAACCGTCGAAAACGCGGATGATCATCAATACATATACGGGGATTCAGAATGCAAGGCCGCGATGCGTTCTGCAACGGCTGCAAGACGCGATGATGAAAGGCACCACTAAACGCACCACGCACATACGTACGAGCGTACATACGTACGCACGGGATTGGTGCGGGAGTGGAAACGCAAAGTAAGGACACTGTCTGTTGGGTTGAGGAGCGACTATCGACCATCTATTTTCAGGCCTATCTACCGTGGGCACAATCTGTAGACCATGAATTTATTTACAATCTATTTCTAGGTCCTAGATAGTCGATTATAAGATGAGCCTGTCTATAGGCCATATTCATTTTTACCGACGTCATAACCGACGCATTTCCAAAACCATTTTTTTGCAGCCTAACATGGCAACCCAACACCTATATGTCTGATGAACTGCAACCTTTCGTTGCCGACGGACCAATCCGGGCGCAATAACCGCAATAATCGACTTACGATTGCTGTTTTCTTGCTGGGCCAGCGCCTGCTGGGAGGCCACCAGGACGGCGAAGATGAGGGCCGCTAAGGCCGCAGACGCGGCAAGATGCCGTCGAACCATTTGGACGTTTCGAGGGCTGGTTCTTGCGATTATTATATACCGGCGGTAAGGTACTACAGGAGAAAGGTGCCTTACCAGATACGGAGATCGATTCACGCACGTCCTGGTGTGTGTATATGTAGTAACAGAACTTGTGCTCGTATATGTATAAATGGCAGGTTTTGTTCAAACACACATTTTCCAATTACACTAATCATGTGGCGTAAATTTATCCTTTTCACATGGGCTGACTGTAACGATTCTCCTGTTTCGTGTACAACAGTCTGTGTGCCCGTTCGGCAAGAGCGACGATCCGTTCGTTCTGAAGTGTCGCTCTGCGGCGTGAGTGATTGGCTGTCGAATCTGCCATAGGATAACTAATAATACTATATCGCTTTGATGAGTCATTATTAGGTGTCGCAACGCCATCCGCGTCCATCACGACATTCATAAGACATTCATGGTGCTCACCATTCCCCCTTCGAGAGCACGTACAGCGGTCTGCTGCGTCTATCTCAAGCATCATCAAAACAATAGATAGCTCATAAATTAGGAGCCGCAATCCTACGGTGTGGCTTCGTTGATGTATCAATTGACGTCTTCACGGCTGTGTCCCCTGGGTAGGGTACAGGCTTTGAGGTAGGTTGGGAGGAGCAGACGCTCGTCCAAGGCCGGCGGTTAGCATCCAAATCTACAAACATCATTCCGGAGCAGAATGTGCATCAGTTTGCATGTGCGTGGGTGCTCTATCTGCTGGAATAGACACCTCACTCCTGTAGTGTTTCATTTCTGTAGTCATTGAAGCAGGTACCGTAGTATGACATCCTCGCTCAATGAGCGAAATCAAGCGAAATGGAGGAGTTTTCCATTCCTAAGCTCGACGTAGTGGCATCTATTTGCGAAAAAAAACGCTTTCCGCTATGACTAAGCATGTAAGATGCTAAAGGACGGCGGCTTACGCTGTCCGTCCTGATCGGTGGAATCATGCATGCTACCGTAGTCTTACTTATACGCGACGTTACAAACTGTGACGGGCCTGGCCGAGAGGGGTCTGACATTTCTTCGGTTTAAAAACGAATGGCGGCCAAAATATCCGAAAGTATGGTCCACATTTCTCCGTTACAATATGAATGGCGGTCGTCGCGGCCCACCGCCCCAGGGCCCCGATAGCGGAGAACTGCACCAGCAGCAGCCATGCAAGCAAAGCTGAAATGCACTTCGTTTGCGACTCTGTGCGCACACGCCATACGAGGCTGACATGTTCCTTCGTTGCCATCAGTGCAAGGCACAGCACTTGCACCCGGCGCACATGGCTCCACATAAACTTGCACTGACAAACCGATGGCGACGCCCTAGGGCCAAAAGCTGGTCCGGATTTCTACACTTTTTGAATGGCGAAAATCGCCATTAGTTTGTAACGTCGCGTATAAGTAAGACTACGGTATGTCTTTTCGTTCCCCCAATTGTGCCCCTCCAAGCTCGGGGTCTACTTAATTTCCCAATGCGTCCCTACAATCTTGCTTAGCCTTTGACACATTATATGTTTTTTTGTAACAACAGCTGTTTTGGCATCTGATTGGCGAGAGCAAGGAGCTGTCACCTCGCAGTGGGAGCGAAAACGCGCGCGCGTACACGATATTGAACCCGCCGATTTTCTATAGAATTATTTTAGTGTCGCTAATTCCATAAATGTTGTATTTTCTGGAAATGACTTGGGATTTTTGACTCGCTGACCAAAGTTATCTCTGTCTGCCCCTTCCAGCAGCAGAGGATGCTTCCAGCTTCAAATTCGCGTTAGCTCCTGCTACGAGTCTATTGCCATTGCCATTTCTGTTACAGATATTGGCTGTGCTCTTACGGCCTGATCGATGAAAAGGCCGCACCGAACCAAAAGGAAAAGAAATAATGTAGTAGAGCGAAAAGGGCGGGCGACGCGGCCTCCAGGGTGGGAGGGCGGGGCGCGTGCTGAACAACAAAAACAAGATACAGAAAACCTGCAACACGCGCTATTTATGCAAAAGACGATCCTGAGGACACGGATCGCCGGCCTCAAGTCGTACCACTTAAAACGGCCGTAAGGCCCTACGCCTTAGCTAACCCGGCTCAAGCTTCGCATAGCCCGCATTAGCTCCTGCTACGAGTCTATTGCCAAAAGGAAAGACACCCCCTCTCAGCGGTTAAAGTACTGACCCATCACCGGCGCGACACGCCGGGCCGCGAGAGGGCCAAAGAAGGCGACCGCACGAGGGCAGCCACGGACCCCCAAATCGAGGTAGTTCTCCCGCAACGCCGACGAGCCTGCGGCCCAGCCACCAAATGCTTCGATGATATCCAGTGGCACTCCCGCCGCACGGGCGGCCGAGGCACCACCCCGCCGCAAACTATAAAGGGTGTGGACGGAACGAAGGCCCTCCAGGCCACACTGCGCCAAAACACGATCGAACCAACGCTCGGCCCCCTGAGTCGTCTGGCGCTCCGGCCATAAACGCGCAGGGTCCCGGGACAGCTTCTGCAGGAGGGCAACCCGGAGAAACGGGAGGCCCCCC